TTACACACTAGACAATGTCATTTCCTAATATAAAATAAGATGGAGTAGTAATTTAACAAAATGTTAAACAAGTTATTTGTTTTGTGAGTTTCCTACATATTTTTATAGTTGATAAATTAATAGCTTCTTTAAGAAACCAGTAAATAATTTAAACGTTTAAAATTACCTGATAAATTAATATGCAACAATTGACTAAAGATTCTTTATATAAGATGATATTAACAATAACAACACATTTATTCACAATTTATAAATTCGAAAATTTCAAAACAAGGGTTGCACAAAAATCTCCTTTTGTGCGCCTCTTTGGGCAGAATAATATTTCCCCCTGGGGTAACAAAAAATACATTACCTACAGAAAAAAAAAGAATGAGATACAATGTGTTATATAAGAAACAGATTCATATATAAAAATATGTTACAATTAGTTTGATAAAAAACGGATTCAAATGAAAAATTAAGCAAAAATTAATCCCTTGAAAATTAGAAAAAACTGGAAAAACTTGGAGAAACGAATAACAAAATTGTACAAAGGCAGAAATTTTTTCAATAAATGTGGTTTCTATTACTTCGTAAACGTTGCACGAGTTTAAAAATTCGATGATAAGCGATCCTCGCCAAGACCTGCAGGTATCATTCACTCGAAACGTGATACTAGGTCCAAAAAGATATGCATAACTTCGTGTTGTACAAGGCCAAAAAAATACGTAGGACCAATTTTAAAAATGGAAAAGATGCAACCGTAAGTTCTATGCTAACAGTTTCTTTTCCCGCAATTCTCGCTTGTGGAACTCCCTTCTGGCCCCATGCTTACCATCTACAAGAATTTAAATGCTATGTCAATCGCCATCTGCTATCTTTCTGATTAATCTTCATTTTTTTTTCTCTCCTTAAAATCTTCCACACCATTTATATGTCATTTTTAATCTTAAAAAATTCCCGCAAAAATAGGGGACCGTCTTATACTCCAGGTATAAAATTTGAATCTTAAATTCTGTGGTTTATGATAAGTTATTAGCATGGAAGGTTTTTGACGGTAGGCTAACATTTCCTTCGCCTCTTTTTTCGATGATATTAAAAAATTGTAGTTGTCTCATACAGTTTCCTAACTGAAATATTGTGTCAAGGCAAGCGAATGTTTGTGTTACATCAACTAAAATGTTTTACCAGTCTTCAGTTTATAACACATTGCCAGCGACACTGGTTTACAGTCGGCTTGGAAGGAGCGAATCCTCCTTTCATTTCGTCAACCCTGTAATTTCAAAATTGTTTACCCAGTTGCCTGACACTGGTGTTGACGCGCCAGATTGGGCATTTTCATTTGCAAACAGATGGGAAAGAACTTGTCTATATTTTTTAAATAGAGAGCCGCTTACGACTGGCCTGCCTCAGCCTTCTGGTTACTCTGAGAAGTGCAATAATGAAAATAATCTTATCTACGCCTTTTTTTTATCTTTCTAGATATTAATGATTAAAGATACTAAACAAATATATATCAAGGGCCTTTGAAAATACTTGTCCCAACCAAGAAGGGATTTAAAAAAAATAATGATATTTGGTCATGCATTCAGATTCGGGGAAGTTTTCAGATATATACATAATATAAATATAGATTGAGAGAGAAAAGAAAATGGTGAAAAGTAGCTGTTTCACTCTCTTTACTATCTTTCTAAAACTGCTTTCATTAATCATCACAGAGAACTTTTTTCAACTTCACTTTCTTTTTAGTCCTAGCTCTAAAAAAGAAAGTGAAGACAATTTAAGAAAAAAACTGAAAAAACAGAAAATGAATAAAAAGAAACGGAAATGAAAAGAAAATAAAAGAAATGCATAAGGTCGGCAGGTCAAAGGAAAATAGTAATAGTAATAAATTATTCAAAGAAAAGAAAAGACTGAATTAATGAATAAATAAATATTTAATTATATCTTTATATTTCGATCACAGAAAAAGTCATATAAGATATGCGCATAATATATATATATATATATATATATATATATATATATATATATATATATATATATATATATATATAATGTCAAAGAGCTACAATCATTGGTTCCACCAACTTTCACGTAACGACCATTGTCATTAAAATTGTAGTAAAACAACCTCATTTCCTTCGTATCCTTTAGTGATATGTAAGTTCCACGCCAGCAGCTTCTTCTCAACCTAAAAGGATGCTTCCCCGATCACTACAATCTTAACCTGTTAAAGTCTAGGGTTAACCGTTATCCTCCACACATATCTGCATAAGCTATATCTCTTATTAGGTAACTACCTCGAGTGGGCCTCAGCTTCGTACAGCGTGTAAAGACAAAACAAAACAAAAAACGACTTCCTTAGTGCCATGAGCAAACTCTTTGAGCCTTTTGACACCAAGAAGATAGTTAATCACCTCATCAAAAACAACTTCCCAAGAAACAGACATTTACTATTCTAGGTCCACTGTTTCTCTTTTAACTCTAATCACATACAGAATCAGAGAAGAGCTTGACTATTAAAGACATTTGACAAGGAGATGCGTATAGTTTTGTTATAAAAACTTTCCTGCGATGACACTTCTCAGGTAGGTCTACGAAGGTCGTTGTGAATGTGCACACTTCTGAAGTCTCTGGGATCAATGCAACTGCCCTCCCGCAAGACTTTCTTCCTACTATTTTCCTGCTTTTTATTAACTAGGAACATTTTCAAATCATGAGTAAGCATGAAAATCTGTGCCTCTTACTCTGTAACCCTCTACCTCGAGTTGTACAGATTAACAACCAGCCAGTCGACTTTCACCTCAATTCTTCTGTCAATTGTATATCGGTGTTTTCCCTCCGGCCCCGAGAAATACGACCAGAGCGAATCTCTGGTGACTTTCCTTGTTGAGCCCAATTCTCCATGTCTCGGTTTGGTGGGCTCTCGTTTATATAGACAACTACCCCCCCTCAAAAAAAACCTGATATTTATATATCTAATTTCTCCATCTTGACCGCCTTAATATTAGGAGTTAATAACATTCCCTTCGTTTTTAGAATGTTATGTTCTCTCTGTCTGTATGTAATCGTACAACACCCTCCCCGGTCGTTCAAGACTTCCAACACCGCGGCTGGTCGTTGAAGTGACCGCTTCAATCCAGAGTTAACCTTATCCCACGTTGTGATTTAAGTTTGATCATAAGGCAGCCAAGACAGAATCGTCGCAAGTATCTTCGTGTTGGACTAGTCTAAGCAGGGCGATGACGTACAGGGGAAAAATAACAATCGAATAAATAGAACAAAAGTAAATACTGTTTTTATATCAGTCCTTCTTACAATAATTGGTTTATATCAGAGTTCGCATGCAATTAATTATCAGCCCAACCCGCGTCTAAATCGGAAGTGATATTATTGTTGACATGGCAAAATCTAGTTTGCTGTTGTCGGTAAGGTTCGGCACAAATCGGAAGTGATATTATTGTTGTCGACTTGGTAAACATTGGTTTGCTGTTGTTGGTAAGGTTCGGCACAAATCGGAAGTGATATTATTGTTGTCGACTTGGTAAACATTGGTTTGCTGTTGTCGGTAAGGTTCGGCACAAATCGGAAGTGATATTATTGTTGTCGACTTGGTAAACATTGGTTTGCTGTTGTTGGTAAGGTTCGGCACAAGGCTGAAGTCGTAGGCATTCGTCTTCAGAGAATCAACGTGGGCCTCTCTCTCCTGTCTCTCTAGTCTCGTCTCCGTCCTCTTCTGTCTCTCTTCTGCCTAATTCACTACGCTCATTCGTATTTATGGACATTTGCCCAAACTGGTAAAGTAAGAGAATTCTTCTTTCACTCTCCCATATCATTATCTCTCACTAAATCTCCTCAGTGAACGTGGATGACTTATCCACCCCTTCCTGGTATTTCAAACTCAACTTTCGACGAGGGGAATCAACTCCAAATTCGTTGTTTACGTAAAAATAAAATTTTCGCTTTACACCTTGCGCTTTCAGTTGTCTGTCAATCAACATTGCCCCCTAAGTCTGGGTCACTTTTCTATTGTTTAAACTGCTTGACATGCAACTCAAGTAGTTTATGTTTGAATTAAATCCTTAATTCTTCCCACGGGTTTTTGGCATTAACCGCTCTCGTTTCAATGTCTCTCAGTACATAACACCTTCTTATGTTTTAAGAAAACATTCTTCCGTTTTACCGCAGCAATGACAAATAGTATCACAATAAAGATATTGGTGTTCTTGAGCGTCAACATAAACAGCATTGGGAATAAAATAAAAAAAACAGATGTCTTTTCTTTGCCTAGAAGAATTTGGGTCCGACTTCTTTGTAAGAGCACATATGTTTTAGACAGATATTATAATGTATACAAATGCTGAATTTAATTTCTCAGGAGCAAGGAAATTTGGCCAACACTTTGATCATGTCTTCTTATCGGAGGGAAGTGGATAGGGTGAGAAATCATGGTTTTGCTTAATTTTACTTGATCTTCATTAGGTAATTCTGGGTTCGATTCTCCTTGGAATAAAAATTAAATTCATTTTATTATTTTAAAACGTTTCTTTTTAATTTTTCGTTAACAATACAATCTACTTTCCTGAGATTTGTAATAATTATTACGCAATTATTAACCCCCCACCCCAAAAAATCAACATCCTGTAACTTCATACAATTATACGTTTAAACAGCGTCAGTGAAGGTTAAAGCTTTATGTTTTGAAAGTCCACTGGATCTCAAGTTTAATCTATAGTTAAATGGGAATTCATATATACGAGACTGAGTGAAACAAGACTTACTTTCCACTCCACAGATTCTTTTCCTGCAGCTGCAACGTCCCAAGTCAATCGCTAATGGATTGCTATTTCCATGGAAGATGTTAAAATGATCTCCAGTTTTTAGTTTCAACAATTCAAATATTTACTGTTAGAAAGGAACATACTATTTCCACTAAGTAGAATCATCCTCATTTCCTGTGTATTCAATATGTAATGAGAAAGTTTTATTCACTGAGATTTTTCCTAAGAACTTGTACTTTATGAAACAGACTCCCGCATATAGATAGATAGATAGATAGATAGATAGATAGATAGATAGATAGATAGATAGATGCAATATTTTTGAACGGTAACATTTACAATCAATACGCATGCTAATACTTTGTAACGGGGCTTGTGATAATTCGTCACCCCGTGGAATTGGGTATCTGTATGCTTGAGGGAGAATGAGAGTGTTATCAGCACATAATTGCATACGTTTAAGACAATAAAAAATTAAATTTTAAAATTAATTTCCTATGTAAATTTGTCTGTGATTAAATTCCGATTTGTGTATGATAAATTAAATTAGTGTATTATAAAATGAATATGTATTAAAATTTTAAAACTTTTAAGACAATTCCTAAATTTAAGAATTGATTTTTATTTAAATCTATATTTTAAATATTAATTTAAATAACTAAAAATATATATTTATATTTAAATATAGTAGTGCCTTGAGATGCAAGTTTAATTCGTTCCAAGACCGTGCTCTTAATTCGTATCTTAATTTTCCCCACTGAATTTAATGGGAATATTTTCCAACCACTCCATACCCCTAAAAATCACCATTATTTTCCTAAAACACACCGTATATTATTATATTTGTAGGTTTCTTACAAGTAAAAATGTGTGAATAAACAAGAAATGTAGTTTACAAACAATAAAATAAAAGAGAAAAAACAAATTGTAAAGAAATAAACTGTACTAAGCCATGAAGTTCAGACGAGTCATAGGCCAACTGGCGAAGGGGAGAGAAAGGGAGACAAAAACAGCTAGCCTAGCAACCGCTAACCTCACCTAGCAACGTCTAGTCTAGTCTATGATACCGAAGATTGACTTAATCACTTAATTTTTAAATTTTTTAAAACATTTACATTATATCCATTAATATAACTATTTTTTTTTAATTTTTAAAATGTTATAATTTTTTATTTATCATCAATGTAGCACGCTCATACTGTCTCCTCAAATCCATTACTCGTTCGCCTTCCTCATGTTTTTTGTAATAATTTCCCGCTTTACTTCAAGTGAAATCATATGTTTTGGGTTTTCACCAATAATCTTTACACTTACTTTCTTCCATGGTGTCACATAACAGAAATCCTTCCAGAGTGAGGTGAACACGTGTACTGCGAGTGGAAATATTCTCGATGCATGGCGCGCGCTGCACCAATTAGCGCATGCTTAACTGAAACTGGCTCGTATCTAAAAATTTAGCTCATAAGCCAATGCAAAAAGTCGGCCGAACTCCAGCTCGTATCTAAAAAACTCGTATGTCGTTACGCTCAGTATCTCTCTGTATTTCTGAGATGAAGTATTATGTACATTATTCGGACTATGGTCCTCATCTTTATTACAACGTTTCGGCTGTTGTATGCTCCGGCCTTCTTCAGGTGGTTGGAATTTCGAACTGAACCCTTTATTTCGCTCACTGGTGTAAACTGTTCTAGCTACACGTGCCATGTTTAATGGATGTCAGTTATCAGTTATCTCCTGTTAATTTCCCTCTGAAAGTTCGCCACTGCCTTAACCGGGTATTGAACTCACACTCTTTGGGTCCTGTCACTGGATCTAACCAACGCCTTTATCCACTGTGCCATGTGTCCTTGTATCTCGTATCTCAAGGTATTACTGTAGATATTAATTTATTCAGATTTTTATATTAAATTGATTTTTTATTTAAGTTTAATAAAGAAAAAAATTTAAGACAACCGTTCATAATATAACACGGTAAAAGTATTTTTCAAGTAATTACCCATGAAAAGAATGTTGAAAATAAAATTTTAAAACAACTAAACACTATTGTTATATATAAACACCCCTAGAGAAGTAAATGGATTCCTATAGAGCACGTTAGCTGAACCTAAATTCTAAACCGAAAATTATCTTTTGACACCCTAATAGATAGATAGATAGATAGATAGATAGATAGATAGATAGATAGATAGATATGAACAGACTGAGATAGATTCTGCTCATTGAATCCTGCCAGTGAACCTACCTGTGCGTGACAGAATAAACGTACATGTATAAGTACGTTTGCATACGTTTTTGCATATCGGTTGGCATACGTTTTGACATTTATACATCCTCCGGTTGATATGGGATCCAGAAAGACTTTTCTCTGACGAATACATTAAATACGTGACAGCGAAGTCAGAAAGATGAAGAGAGTAGACAACGAACAACGGAGATAGAATGCTAACAGAAAGATGGCTTTCGTAAATAAGCAAAGTTGATCGGGAGAGCCGCTCTTCAATTTCCTATTGTGAAGCCAGCAACCCCTTGGCATGAATAAAATAAAGTGAATGTCGTTTCTCTTAAGGTAACATCAGGGAGTCGTTTTGATTTGCATGACACCTCGACAAGACTCTCACTATTCTTGCTCGACGCAAGTTGCATCTCATCATACACACTCTGGCTTACAAATATATATGTGCATGTGTTTGTGTGTGTGAGAGATTATACATACATATGTATAAATACATGGGATTATATATACAGGTGCAACAATAAATCCATCTCCTGATTTATTATGATATGAAAATTACGCGAAATGTTCGATGAAAATTATGAGTGAATCATTAAGTGCATTAACAAAGACTAAGATTATGTTGAAAAATACTTTTATAATATATATATATATATATATATATATATATATATATATATATATATATATATATATATATAAACTGACCAGTCATTTTCAATAAACAACTTATTTCAAATGGCCACACAAAAGAAAACTTCAAGGGTGTGAGGTCTGGTGACTTTGGTGTCCACTCAGTAGGCCCTCTTCACCCTAACCATTAACCCCTATGTAATTTGTGTGTGTAAACATAGATATCTATATCTACATGCTCTTTATTTCTGAAACTGCGTATTCTCCCAGCACAATTATAGCACATTTAAAACAATATGATGATGATCCGACGCATCTTCACAGATGATAGCCGTATAATCCCGTTCCCTCCCCACCTCGCACCTTTCTCGTGCATGACCCCGAAGGTGAATTGCCAGGACGTCTGCTGACTTGCATGACTTGTTACACAAGTGACAGACCAACAATGTGCTTGCCACAACCTTGATGAATACACACCGCTGTGTCTGAATCCTGTACATCAACATGTACCTTTTCTGTCCGGAGCTGGTTGTTCGTACCTTGTCACACAGCGTGCAAGCTGTCACACTCTTTATCTGGGGAATGTCAAGGGTGATTTTTTTCTTTATGTAACTTCACATGATTCACCCAGCCAACCTTTGAAAGAAGTATACGCTGACAGAAATCACATGTCCTGCCCTTGATACCCATGTCGAGTCCATGGTTGTCACCCATTGGAAGTCGCTGCTTCAGCCGTTTTTGTTTCAGAGTGCATTCTTCGAAGAGTTGAGACCCGTCTTTTATTTGACCTCTCCATGCAGTTCTATCTAGGGCCATCTCTTCCCAATTCTTGAAGTGAAATGCCAGCTTTTTTAGGTTGTTCTTGATACAGTCTTTGTGTCTTTTCCTTGGTTTGTGCTGAGGACTTTTTCCGATACTCAGCATACCATAAAACAGTTGTTTCGAGAGTCTACTATCCTTCCTTTATTCGAATTATGTGTCCTGTTCATCGCATTTGGGAAAATGTTACGAGTCTCAATGCTTTGGCAGTTAGCTCTGACTAGGACATCAGTGTCAGGAGTTCTGCTTCCCCATTCGACATTCAATGTGCGTCTCATGCATTTCTGCTTGAAACGCTCAAATACATGTTTGCCTAGTAGTGTCCAGGTTTCAGAGGCGTATAAAAGAACTGTCTATAAGCACATACCTTGGTATGGTTGGTAATGTCACAAGCTACCCATACTCTTCTTACCTGCTTTCCGAAGGTCGAAGAAGCCTTCTGGATGCATATTTTGGCATCCAGTGAGCCATCTTTTGTAATTGTGCTGCCAAGATAAACAAACTTCTCAACTACCCCTAATCTTATTCCATAAACAAATATGTTGGGCTCGATATATGGCTCCCCGTGGGCAGAAGTAAATATTACCTTGGTTTTTGTGAGACATCGTTAGACCAAATACTGTGCATGAAGATGAGAAATGGTCCGTATATGTATATGAATAAAAACATGCAAACTTAGTCAATGGAAATATGTGTAAATTTTAATGGAACTGTTCAAATATTGACAAATATAAAGCGGCAGATTTCGTTATGCAAAAAACAGTCTGTCTTTCAAACTATACTTGATTCTCAGCGAGTTTGGTTGGAATGTTCCCTTGCATTCAAGAATAAGAAAATTCCAACAGGTATCAATTTTAATTCAGTCAGCAATATGTAACCTTGCTGGATAAAATTGTCAAGTGATATATATAAAATTTCACTCTTTCAGTCACCCCAAGAAATTTAATCGTCTTTTTAGTTGCTTCATTTTCTTTTCTTTTCTTTTTCCCCTAGATTCTTTAGTCCTCAAAGAGAACAAAACAGAAGCCTTATCGAAAGTTAAAAGATTCCGTTTTCAGACATTATCGTTGCATTAAAACTAATAATGCCGCCTTTGATATATTCAAGCTCACTTTTTTTTAATTTTTTCCGACTTTCTGAAGTTCCCTACAGTTGAATTGTTGCTGTACATAATGATAGTTCTCTCCGTATAAAATAATACGAACGCTACATATAACGAAACATGACTAAACAAGTAAACACGCGTACATATATACGTCAAAATAGATCAGTGGGAGGATTAAATATTGTTTTAATAATCTGAATCATCGTTCTGTAATCACTTCATTCCTTGGTTTTTTAAACGTGAATAAAGGTCTGTTCCTTATTTCCTGTTTAGGATTGGGTTTCTGATGCCTTCTTAAATCAAATTCAACTTTATACTTCTAATGTTTCCGCCTAAACTCGGAAATATTATTTACTATGTTTTCCCTCATAGGAGTAGATAGGTTCGCCTATCGTCTATCTGACACTATCTCCTCGGTCTTTTGAACATGAATAAAGGTTTATCCCTTGTTTCCTGTTTAGGATTGGGTTTTCGATCCCTTCCAAAATTAAATTCAACTAAATACTTCTAATATTTCCGCTAAACACGGAAATATTATTTACTATTTTCTCTCATAGAAGTAGATAGTTTCGCTTATTGTCTACTTCACACTTCTGCTTGGTCTTTTGAACATGAGTATAGGTTTATCGTTTGTTTCCGCTTTAGGATTGGGTTTCCAGTCCCTTCTAAAATCAAATTCAACTTTATACTTCTAATGTTCCCGCCTAAACTAGGAAATAATTTTCCTGTTTAGGATTGGTTTCCGGGTGCCTTCTAAAATGTAATACATCTTTATACTTTGGCTGTTTTCGCCACAAATCGGAAATATTTTTTTGCTATTTTACCCTCATAAGAGTAAATAGGTTCGCCTATCGTCTAGCTGACAATCCTCCTCGACCTTTTGAATATGAGTAAATGTTTATCACTTGTTTCTTGTATCGGATTGGGTTTCCGGTGCCTTCTAAAATGAAATTCAACTTTATACTTCTAATTTTCCGGCCTAAACTCGGAAAGATTATTTATTATTTTTTCCTCGTAGGAGTAGATAGTTGCGCCTATCGTCTAGTTGACTCTTCTCGGTATTTTGACAATAAGTAAAGTGTTTCCACGTCCTTTGGAATTCTTCTTGTTCTCCATCACTAACCCTAACCCATCACCCAGTAGCCTCTTGCATCTTAGTAGCATTATCGCCTTGTTTGAGGTGAATTGATTTAAAAAAAAAAGAAGTTCGCTTTTACTCCCGATCTCCTGCTTTAGACACAGTTATTCAACGCTTGTTGCCGAGATGTGATCCTTATCAATTATAACGTCGGAGATCTTATGACTGAAAAAGGTAAATTGTTCTGGAAGCGGCTCAGAAGTAAAATCAACTTGAGAGTATTATCTACACACGACGTTCTTTTTCTTCTATTTCTATGACCCTTCAGGACGCGGGCGACCATGGCTCTCCACAATTTCCTATCCTTTGTAGCGCTTATTAAGGCTTGTCTTTTTGCTATGTCTCCTAAAACCTGTTTTGCCAACCATTTACATAATCTCATTAGGTAGCTAATTCGTTGCTTTCCTTAATATCTCTTGTTTTCAATATGCCCTGTAAGTATCAAATTTGCGAAGCCCTATTTTGTCATTTTGTGTCCTAATATTTTCAAATTTCTCTTTCTGACCTTAAGTAGAAGTATCCTTTTTGCTTTTGTTTTCCCTAAAACTTCCTCGTTACTCACATTTCCAGTCCATGGTATCCTTATGTAGAATCTCACTTCTGTGGCTTAAAGCCTCTTCTCAGTCTGTGAGATTGTCCAACATTCACTGCCATATAGGAGAACTGATATTACATAACAGTTTAGAACTATTTTCTTTGTTTCTAATAAAATTGCCATGATTCATAATACTTTTCGTACCACTGGAAGACATATTTCGCTATTTCAATGCGATTTCGGCTTTTGGCGTTGCATTATCTGTCCTCATTTAAAACACTTCCAAGACATTTAAATTTTCGATTTTGGTGTTCCCAATTCGGAGTTCGCATATTGAACTGTTCATTTTGCTGGTAACCATACATTCTCTCTTCTTACAATTGGTGTTTAGTCCTTTCTTCTCGCTTTCCTTTGCTACTTTCTGTTACTAACCAAAAGTGACTTCCAGCTGATGTATATTTCAAAAACTTTCAATTCTTTTTATGCCCGCAGATAGATAGATAGATAGATAGATAGATAGATAGATAGATAGATAGATAGATAGATAAGCACATTTTGGATTCCAGAAACTAAGCGAAGTATTAAGAAATAGGAAAATATCGTTAGATACAAAGGAAAGAGTGCTGAAATGTTGTGCAGCGTCTAACCTGTGTCAGTGTATGCTGAACAATCGACTCAGAGAGGAAGTAGATACTTGTAGTGACAGAGATGTGATTCTACCGATGAATGCTAAGAATACTTTAGACAGAGCATGTCAGTAACGAGGAAGTTTTAAAGAAAATAGGAACTACAAGGAAACTGATAATTCCAATGAGAAAGAGATTAGCTGTAATTCCTGAGAGACATAATGAGGACAAAATAGTTGGAGAATCTAACACTTACTGGATATATACTGAATGTTTCAGATTTCTCAAGCATTCAGTAAACATTCTAGTAACATACATACTTAACAAATTTGTGAGAATGGATGGCGGGGGCTGGTAAAGTTTCAGATCTTACTCTGAGCAACAAAAGGACGTTGTAGATAGTTATAATTATCCATCTATTTAACGATGATGGCCTATAAAAGTAAGTAGTTGCATTAATTAGAGAATAATTATTTTCTCTGCTTGGATTCAATGAAAAGTAAATTTTGAAAACAAGACATAAGACATAAATCTCAAGAGAAGGTATGAAAGCATTGCAGGCAACGTAATAATCATGTTGAAAAATTATTTTATGCATAATTACACACACACATACACACACACAATCTCTCTTTCTATCACACGCACATACATACGCACACACACATTACAAAAGGAACTGATATATACATGTATAAAATAGTAAATGTTTGATATTATTTTTTGTACTATGAATATCGTTTATAATCTAAAATTGATGCTACCTTACAAAATCTTGGAATCTACTAGCTGTACTCCAAGTAATTGTTGATGTTAGCTAAAAGAGTCATAATACACTGCTTTATTTCACGACATGCAATATTTACGATGCATTGTCTGCATAATGAAATGGTTCTGTGGAAAGTCATCACTAGAACTGGTGAAAAAAGAGAATATATATGGTCGTAAATACTGAGAGAAATAAAATTAAAAAAATCAGATTTAGACAACATAACTAATAAAAAATCAGTCACGAAAGAATGACGATGTACTTTTTAAATCATTTCACCCTAAGCAATGCGATAATATCACTAAGAAGCAACGGGAGTGAAGAAGAATGGGAAGACTTTAGAAGGTACCGGAAACCTAATCCTAAACGGGAAACAAATGATAAACATCTACTCCTGTTAACAAAAAAACGGGAAAGTGTGTTAATCCGACGATAGGCCAACCTATCTACGCCTTGGAAAAAGAAGAAGAGTTTGAAAAAATTTCGATTCATAAACTACATAAACAACAATTGTTTTCACTGAATATCAGAAACAGGTAAGTTATCATATATAAGGGCAAAGTGTTAAAAAAAAACCGAGACATATTATGTAAAGCATCATACTAAGGGAATAAAAATACTTCTACATTCAAATAGATGCTAGTTATTTTCCTAAGGTAGCAACAAATGAAATAGTTTGCACATTAAAATACAAAATGCTGAAATCTCAAGGCAAATGTGGTATAGTAACAGACCTTTCTCGTAGTACAAAAGAATAATTCCACAAAGGATTAACATAGTTTGCCCAGTTTAAAGCGCGATATTCGTTTAAAGCACAGTTCTATCTTACAATATCTTGTGATGGCTATGCCCGACAACGAGATATCATCCACCATATATAAACAAATAGCAAAAGAAAAGAAAATGTTGAACGTGCTAGAAAGGATTAAAAAATTATTTAAAAGAATAAAAATACTTTGGTCTTTCCTCTTAATAATAACATAAATATTTTTACGATAAAGCATTGTTTTTATCAAATTCAGGGCCTTTATTCATCATGGTAAGTGAATGTACCTAATATGAGAAGCCTGATAGAGGTAGGTACAAGTGCTTAGATAGATAGATAGATAGATAGATAGATAGATAGATAGATAGATAGATTTCTGATTTTTGAATGCCAATAAAATCAACATTTATTTCTTTTATCTCGATTAGAGTAAATTGAAATATAAACAACATTTCAATTTCAGACCTTTTTTTAAGAGAGAGAGATTTTGCAAGAATAATTTTCAAATCAATGACTTTTAATCCCTTCTATTGTCATTGTCTGGTGTATATAAACTCAAGCATCAAAATTAATTGCAGTCCTGGTTGTTATCATGATTTTCACGCTTAGTTGTAAGAATTTTGAATGTTTAGTTTTAATAATTAGGAATAGTTTTCTTTAGTCTATAAAATATTTCCTATTATTGATTCTACATTACAGAATCTCGACAATGTAGCACGGGAAACAAACTGTATCAGCCCTAAGGAATAAACATTAATAAACAAACTGTATCAGCCCTAAGCAATAAACATTAATAAACAGACTGTATCAGCCCTAAGCAATAAACATTAATAAACAGACTGTATCAGCCCTAAGCAATAAACATTAATAAACAAAATGTATCAGCCCTAAGCAATAAACATTAATAAACAGACTGTATCAGATCTAAGCAATAAACATTAATAAACAGACTGTATCAGCCCTAAGCAATAAACATTAATAAACTAACTGTATCAGCCCTAAGCAATAGACATTAATAAACAAACTGTATCAGCCTTAAGCAATAAACATTAATAAACAGACTGTATCAGATCTAAGCAATAAACATTAATAAACAGACTGTATCAGATCTAAGCAATAAAAATTAATAAACTAACTGTATCAGCCCTAAGCAATAGACATTAATAAACAGACTGTATCAGCCCTAAGCAATAAACATTAATAAACAGACTGTATCAGGCCTAAGCAATAAACATTAATAAACAAACTGTATCAGCCCTAAGCAATAAACATTAATAAACAGACTGTATCAGATCTAAGCAATAAACATTAATAAACAGACTGTATCAGCCCTAAGCAATAAACATTAATAAACTAACTGTATCAGCCCTAAGCAATAGACATTAATAAACAGACTGTATCAGCCCTAAGCAATAAACATTAATAAACAGACTGTATCAGCCCTAAGCAATAAACATTAATAAGCAAACTGTATCAGCCCTAAGCAATAGACATTAATAAACAAACCGTATCAGCCCTAAGCAATAAACATTAATAAACAGACTATCAGCCATAAGCAATAAACATTAATAAACAGACTGTATCAGCCCTTAGCAATAAACATTAATAAACAGACTGTATCAGCCCTAAGCAATAAACATTAATAAACAAACTGTATCAGCCCTAAGCAATAAACATTAATAAACAAACTGTATCAGCCCTAAGCAATAAACATTAGTTCAAGTAATAGTCATTAATATCATTCAAATGTTGCATCTCTTACAAGTTTAAAATTGGCATTTTCAGAAAAGAATATATTAACATGACTGGCAGTAAATTTGTCTTGTCTTTTCTCTATATCGATTAACTTCAGCTTCGCCTAACTCAAGAGTTGGAATACTCAGTGATTTCTGAAGTCAAGAAAATTGTACTAGTTTTCACAAAATACTTACAGAAAGCGCTTTAGGATATTAGTGCATTTGATAAAGCTACTCACAGGCATCACCGTGTACAGTTGTCGCTAGCAGTCTATTTTTTCACTGTCTATTGCTCTTGTGTGTTCTGTTCACACTAAATGCCCCGTACTTACAAACTTATACCCATTAAGTATCTATTGCGGCCTGACTCAATGTGGAAATCGTTATGTTATCTCCTCTGCAACCACGTGTTAAACACGTATTCACCATTTAACATACGTTGCACTATTTTCAACATTAAACATAAAACTAACCAGAAATGTGCATTTTATTTACAAATAAAACGTAAAAAGATGGGCAATGATCGTTTAAGTATTTCATACTAAATCCAAAACGAATTTACTAATAGAAGACAATGATCCTGCTTCTCCATTCGGGGCCAATATACTGATGAAAGTGGGTCTACGCTGATGACATAGATATTAATAGTTGTGAGAAGAATAATCTTGAACAAAAAATCAAAATAGTCTACCCAGTTTTTCAAGAATAAGACTCAAGGTAAAATTTTTCAAAACAGAATCTATAATCTAGAATTCAAATGAAAACAGTAATGGCTCATACTCGGAATCCCTTATAAGAATTCAAGATAATAATAAATAGCAAACACTTCAAATACTTCAGTCTATGGATAATCTATAGCAAATTTAGCATGGAAGATAAGGAAAAAATACATATAATAGACTGTTCTAGGGGTAGTTTCGGCCAACACCGAAAATTGCAACAAAACTAAAACATTAACCTCAAAAATATTCATGTTCTTAAATAGCTTCGTCAGATTGAGACTTTCATATGGATGTCATGCATGATATCAAACCCATTAAGAAATATCAAAACTACCAGCTATATACAACCGTTTTCTCGGATCAATAGTTAAAAACTGCGTTAAGCGTGTTAAACTTGTAGGTCTCAGCAAGGATTATCCTTCTTCAAACCTTGTGAACTGGCGCTACAGAATCACAAACAAAAGACTGTAGCAAATAAGCGAAGCCACGTCACTTGAGGGTAAAACTAAAACGCATAGTATAGGTAACTAAAAGAGAAAATAATGACTTAATCAAGATGTTGATATTCAACACTACATATAATAAAAGGTTAGAAAGGAAACTCCTATTAATTCTGAAAATAACGCTAACAGCTACTAAACTTGATCAACCTATTTCCCTAAAAAATTATTTTAATCGAAAGATTTTATAAATTTCAACCGAAAGTGGCACTGGCTGCTCAGTCAATGAATGCCGAATGTTTCCTTATAAGGAAACGGCTACATTTCCAATATCATACCCATAAGTTGTGCATTCCAATGCCTTATACACTTATGCTTAAAATAAGAAAGGAATATTTGAAGTTTCTTGGACACATAATGAAAAAAAGACCTGTAAAATTTGACACTCACAGGATATATTGAAAGCAAGTTAAGTACAAGAGAAAACAGCTGGTAACCTGCGTAAATGAATTTGTGTAAACGGAAATACAGCTTAAATTTCTTTGGTAGCTTTGCATTTGACAAGCATTCTCACACGAACTTTATTTTTGCTCAGTTCCTGTTTACTTCTCAAGACTGAAATCAAATATTTCCTGATTTCCTACGATCATTTGTTCAGATTCAACATCCATTTTTATTAAGAATTCACAAATGTTACGTAATGAACAACAGTTCTTTTGAATCGTTTGTATGATGTACACAAATATCAAGTACACAATTGAGCCACTATTCATCGTTGCTAACAACAGTAACTATATTCTTATTACTAAATAGCTACTTACGATTCTTCATCGGCAATTTACTATAATTGATGAATCATAAATAATGAGATTTATTTAACTACACAAGTAATTATATTTAACATGTAATGAATTAATATTATAATATCATTATATTAATAATATCATTATATTAATAATATCATTATATTAATAATATCATTATATTAATAATATCAGTTATGAACATAACAGTAACAGTACTGCTTTCGGTTGAAATTTATAAAATCTTTCTCTTAAAACATTTTATCTAGGAAAATAGGTTTCTCGGGTCCAGTAGCTGTTATCGTTCTTTCCAGTTTTGATATGGGTTTTCTCTCCTAAACTTTTATTTAAATTAGGTGAAATGTTAATATCTTGGTTATGTCATTATCTTTCCTCTAGTTACGGGTGTTATCCATTTTAGCTTTTGCTGCTGTTATTAGTCCACAAATGATGTTGTTTCTGTTACTTGGTTCAGTACTTTGTTTGTGATTCTGTAGCGCCAGCCTACAATGTTCAAAGAAGGATGGCCTTTACCAAGACCCTCAGGCTTTAATCGTTCAAAAACTGTGAAGTTGCTTGAAAAAGTGATAGTCAGTGGCCGACTGATAGTGGGAATATAGTGGATGTGGCAAAGTTTTGTATCCCAATTCGTGAGCTTCTATAATGTCATCCTGGCAACATATGACCGAGCATTTTCATGAAGCAGAATTGAATCGCTGTTACCAATTATGGTTGCATTTTGCTTAATCGAATGTGCATTTCAACCAGTCGCTGAGAGAAAACATTGGTAGTGATGCTCGAGTTAGATTCCAGAAAGCTATAATGGATAACGCAGCCGATAGCCAATCACTACACAGATGTTGATTGTCAATTGCACATGGACGCGTCCTCTACTATCTTCATCTTCCAGAGGTATATTCGTACTGATGAATTTCAGAAACCAGCACCATGCTGTTAAATCACAAGTAGATCCTTGATCCCATACTCTGCTAATGTTGGCAGCACTTTGAAAAGCATTATGACCAAGCTTAAACTCAGGCAAAAAAATAAATGCATCTCTTCCTTTTTTCATATTCAACATAAGTAGTACATAACAGTCTATGTTAAATTCTAAAATCGACATAAATTAACAAAAAGGACAATTTAATCATTCAGAATGACTAATATATTTTTTGCAACTATTTAAATAATATATTGGAACACAATAGAAAGGTTTATTTTAAAATCCTAGATTATTTTCCGCACACCTAATATATTAGAAGAGAAAATTTTTATTCTAAGATCGGACATTATTTTATGAACAATCTAATATACTGAATTAAATTAAAAACGTTTATGGGCGTGGAAAGGGAATCAATAAGCGGAGTTCAAATTGTATGTCGCATTCATTTTCGTAATATTACTCTTGGCAAAGATACGAATTCATCTCTTTCCCAGCCCCAACCATAGATTAAATAGCAGGACAGACTAGATTTTCCAGCTTTGGCTGGTAGCCGATCTATAAAAAGAAAAACTGGAAACCACTCTACTATGTTTGTCAAGAAGTAATGGCAGTTCATAAATAATAAAGAAAATGACATTTTGGAAAGCCAATATCGCCTACTTACTGTCAATAAAGAATTAAATTAAGTAGATAATTCCAACGGATGTACTAATGAGCAAGTTATATTGAGCTCTCAAGCATTGGTTGGTAACCAGTCTATGA